AAAAAAAATACTAGGTATAAATCTGACAAAATGTATGCAAGTTCTATATGAGGAAAGCTATAAAATTCTGATGAAAGGAATCAAAGAACAGGGCTGGCCAGTTAGCTCAGCTGGTTAGAGGGTGGTACTGATAACACCCAGGTCCAGGGTTTGATCCCTGTCCTAACCAGCCACCAAAAAAATCAAAGAAAAAAAATTAAAAGAAGAGCTAAATAAATGGAGATATATCCAGTGTTCCTGCATAGAAGTCAGTATTGTTAAGATGTCAAGTCTTCCCAACTTGACATGTAGATTTAACATAATCCCAACCCAAACCTCACCAGGATATTTTTGTGATATTGACAAACTGATCCTACGTTTATACAGAAAGATAAAGGACCCAGAATGGCCAACACAGTGCTGAAGGAGAGGAACAAAGCTGGAGACCGACACTGCCTGACTTCAAGACTCACTATCAGGCTGCAGTAATCATGACAACATGGTATTGGTGAAAGAACAGACAACTAGATCAGTGTAACGGGACGGAGAGCCCAGAAATAGATCTACACAAATACCGTCAACCTATCTTTGACAAAGGAGCAAAGGCAATTCAATGGAGCCGATGATCTTTCCAACAAATGGTGCTGGAACAACTGGATGTCCACATGCAAGAAACTGAATGTAGACACAGACCTTATGCCATTCACAAAAGTGGACTCAAAATGGATCATAGACCTCAATAAAAAACACAAAACTATGAAACTACTAGAAGATAACACAGGAAAAAATCTAGGTGAACTTGGGTTTAGCAATGAGTTTTTAGATACTACACCAGATGCATGATCCATGAAAGAAAAAATTGGTTAAGTTGGACTTCATTAAAGTTAAAAGATCCTACTCTGAAAGACATTAAGAGAGTGAAAAGTCGAGCCACAGGCTGGGAGAAAGTCTTTGCAAATCACCTATCGGGTAAAGGACTTGTATCTAAAATATACAAAGAACCCTTAAAATTCACACTGAGATGATACCTGTTAGAATGGTTAAAATCCCCAACAGTGATAATACTAATGCTGGTGAGGATGTGGCGCTGCTGGAAGTCTCCCTTCATTGCCAGTGGGAATGCAAACTGGTGCAGCCACTTCGGAAGACAGTTTGACAGTTT